TTCCAGTTTTGTAATTGAAATATTATAGGACTTGATAGTTTTCTAATATTTCTGAGTGGCACATTGTTACCTGCAAAATGTTCAGATACTCCTGAATCTAATAGCCAATTAATTGTACGTTTATTACAATTTCGAATGAAGACCGGAAAACAATAATTTCCAGTTTCTCCAGTTTTAGTTAAATCTCCTTCGAAGCTACATTGGCTGTTTTCGTATTATTATTCTGATTTATTTTATTTTGTGGTCTCCTACGACAATCTATAGCTTTGTGTCCTTTTATACCACAATTATTACAAGCAAACAGAAAACGTTGTTGACCAGTTTTGTTTTGAATTGGTTTGTTTTTATATTTATTTTTACTAACGATATTATTACCTATTGTGAAAGCTGTAGAAGATTGTACCTCGCCTTTTGATTTTCGTTTTAGATCACTTTGCTTTGATTCTTCATCAAGTAGCCGATTCTTTACAAAACTTAATTAATTAAGTTAATTTTCTCAATAGAAAGAGTTTCTATTGCAGTTACAACAGTATCATACTCCGTAGGCATTGTTAGTAAAAGATGAAACACAATGTCTGATTTTTCTAATTTCGCTCCGGTAAACCGCAATTCACGTATAAGCTTGTCAAATTTCAACAAATAATTTGAAAGAATATCGTTGGCAGCATTAAATTTCATCGATAGAAGAGTTTTTCGAATAAGCTATCCCGTGATTCTTTTCCTTTCAAACGTACTACATAGAGATTGCCAAATATCATATGCAGTTTCTTGATCCTTTGCATACTCCAAATAACTATGAGGAATTCTATGTATGAGTTGAAACCTGCACTTCCTGTTCTTTCTATGTTCAGCAAGGCTTACTTCTTTTGCATTCCGTTGCTCCATTTGTATCTTAAATTAATATTTCCACCATTTCTTTATATAACTTTTCTATAAGTTATTAAATCTACACAGAGATTTAATAAAATTTTGTAAAGACAATCCGAATGTTCTTTCTATTCACACGCGCGGACAAGGGTAATGCTACGGTGGCAATGGAAAGATCTCATTATATTAACAAAATGGAAAACGTTTTAAAAGATGTCAACACTTACACTATTGTTAAAAAAAATCCGTGCAAAAAAATAGAGAACGATTTGAATGATTTGTTGAAGAGATGGCTTAAGGAAGATTATATTTCAAAAAACAATATTATAAATTACGTTGTAGTGATTCTCTCCTTCCAAAAGCGTATGGATTACCTAAATCCATAAGAAAACTATCCAGTTAGAATCATAGTTTCATCGGTTGATACAGCTCTATACTCGCTGGCTTCGTTTTTACAAAACACCTTACGAACTAGTCTACCCAAAGCGAAAAGTCATATTAATAATAGTTTGATTTGTACAGCATATTGTCTGTAAAAAGATTGATGAGAATGATAGGATGTTTTCCTTGGATGTGGTGTCTTTGTTTACGAACGTTCCTCTGGATCTTGCGATTGACGGTATTAACGATAGATGGGATCACATTGGAATAAATACTAAAATACCGAAAAACGAATTTTTGGGGGGTATAAAATTCATATTGACTTCTACATATTTTAATTTGATGACATAATTTATAAACAGACGTTGGGACCCCTATGGGGTCACCGTTATCACCAATTATTGCAGACCTGGTTATGCAAGATCTTGAGGATACAGTTCTCAAAGCGTTGAATTTGGAATGTTTGTTTTATTTTCGTTATGTGGATGACATAATAGTGGCCACCTCTATGACTAATATGACTCAGATTGTGAATAATTTTAACAACTATCATGAAAGACTTAAATTCACGGTCGAACAAGAGGTTAACCATAGCTTGAATTTCTTAGATTTATCACTTAAATTATTAATAACAAAATATAATAGACTGGTATCAAAAAGAAACCTTCTCAGGAAGGACGTTATCATTTATTCAAACCACCCACTATGCCACAAAATAGGAATAATATATAACCTTGTAGACAGATGTCTATTGCTATCACATCCACTATTTTTAATAAAAATTTGGAGTTAATTATTAATATACTCAGAAGCAATGGTACCCTCTTGATCTGATTTTAACAAAATTAATCATCGGATAGAACACATCATATCTAAGGGGAGCATTATAGAGAGACAGGCCAACATAGAAAGAAAAAAGTATAAGAAATGACTCGGTCATAAAAAATTCTTTGTCATTCCGTATATAGATGGGATCTCAGAAATGATTGTTTCCTCGGTAAAAAATAAAAATTGTATGGTAGGGTATAGATGTCTCAACAAACTGGATAATATTATTAAAGCGCAGAAAGATAAAACTAAACATCCATGCAATTCGAATGTGGTTTATAAGATCAGTTGCAATAATTGTAATGCATCTTATGTAGGCCAAACAAAGAGGCAATTGCAGACGCGAATAAAAGAACATAAAAATAATATTAGGTTGGACTCAACGAAACATTCAGTAATTCTGAACACATAATAAATGAACATCATACTTTTAATTGGGACAATGTTAAGATCATGGACAACGAAAATAATTATTATAAAAGACTCATTTCTGAGATGCTACATATCAAGGAACAAAAATGGACTAAATTTAAACAAAGATACTGAGTTACTTAGCGAGTCGTATTTTGATATTTTGGATATATTAGCGAACAAGAAATAATAATAGGACAAATAGGACATTAACGAGTAAAACATAGATATTAGATCATATATAAACACGCACGCTCTCGATCAAGTAGAGTTTAAAATGAGCTGTCTTTCTGTATTGTTGGTTGTTATGTGTCATCCTTAATAACTGTTAATAAGTAGCAAAATTATCAAGAAGAACGATGATAGGTAAGCATACTACCAATTGTAGGGGATACATATTATAATTTGGACATGCGTTGATCGGTAATTTTTTATAAATCGCAGCGCCTACGGAACGGGTTAATTTCTCGCATATTAACGATGAAACTATCCGAGATCTGAACAAAATCAGGGATCATATCGAGGCGAACATTGTTGGACAGGACGGATTGAAACACGCGTTAATTACTCAAAAACTCTTGATTCTGAATAACTATAATAAATTTCAATATTATGTGAATTGTAAGAATTTTATTTCAATAATTATACTGAAGAAGACCGCGTGCGGTCGAAACGTTTTATAGAATGATTGTAATTTGCGTTAGTTTTAATATAATGACTGTAGTTTATAATTTATACATGTAATAAATGGTAGTTGACTGAACATCTCGAATATTCAGCTCGATAAGTTGGCCTTATATTTATCACTTTGTTTTCAATATACGAGCGACAATTTATTAATTTATTATTAAATCTTGTTCTGTCAGTAGAGTCTCAATCCTAAATTTCTAATTATTAAAATTTGTGCCGTTAAACAGCGGAACTCAATACTTTTCTCCATCTTCAACTATCATACTTAAAGAAGGTTAACTGTCTTTGATTCAAATTTAAATAGCAATTTTAAATTTTAAATATCTTTTATATTATATCTATTCTTCTTTAAACGACTTTACTACCATAACCTGTTGACTAAAGCGCAGAAAGGAATACTATATTCTTGAGTAGATATTAATCAATTATATATTTTAATATAATCAATTTACAATCAGGACACACACACAACAAAACATTCCAACAGTAAAAAAAGGTCATAAACAAAAAGAAATTTGTTACAAGAGTTAATTTGACTACAAATTAAAATTAAGGGGATGCTGGAGTGACGACCGAACTCTGATAGGTTAGCACCACACATCTAAACATATGCACGTATATAACACATATGCGTGAAAATGTTTTTAATATATAACTTTTTTATTAGACTTGCAATTTCCCTTTTAATTGTTCACTAATATTTCTTCATATTATCTTATCGCGTATACTATATTTTATGCGCAGACAAACTGCAGAACTTTTTTATTAAATAAGTATTGTTACGCACTGACACAAATAAAGTCGATAACAAAATTGTAATTTTTGATTTTTATATGATTTATATATGCAATCATAGTTAGCGCGGTCCGTTTATATAAGTACTGTAATCGTGGAAAAGGATTTATTGATCACTATAGTTAATAAAAAGGTATATAAAAAAATCTAAATATTCGCATTTGGTCGGTAAAAACATACCTGCAGCATTCCCTTAATAATTAAAGTTAAATTGCTTAATTTAACAGAGTAAAAAAAGCTATATATTAATACAATAGTGCATTTTATTTAACAAACGTACAAAATATATGCGTTGCTCGTTACTGCAAAATGCGACACAGAGAATACTGAGAAGACAAAAAGGAGAAGAAGCTCAGCGACAGTCTCGCGAAGTTGTGTCCGGATAGAGGTGCTGTAAGCACAAAATGAAGCGATTTGTGGACACTCGCGTATCGTCCGAATAATTATAGTTTTAACAATAGTTATGTTATGTGTTTATTATACATATAAGTTGGGATCCAGTGCGACATTGTGCTGAAAATTATAATAGTATGATGGTGACATCAATCTTTTCTTAAATTTAGAAGTAACTATTTCTATATTCGCGGACATAACAATATTATCGTTTATAAGACTATATATTAAAGTATAAAGTCATTTTTATTATATGACAAAGACTCAATATTGATTAGTTTATTAAAAACTAAAACTAAATTAAATTTAGACGGTATTAAAATTTGATAATCTAATTTTAACTAGAAACGAGCTGTATACGGGTATAATCTTTACTGTTCATTCTGTTCACTACATGTAACTCTCTTACGGTGTAAGATATATTACAATATAAATACTATAATATGTAATATATTATAATACTAAAAAAAGGAAAAAATAGAAAAAAAATAAAAGGAAAAAACTGAATGCAGAGAGAGAGGGAGAAGGGGGAGAAAGAGGAGAAAAAGGGAGGAGAGGGAGGGGGAAAGAGAAGGAGAGGGGGAGGAGAGAAAGAGAGATTTTATTATATTATTATTCTCAATTTAAATTTTTATTTTTTCTAGCTCGCATCTGTTCACGATTATTCTATTGTGGAGTATCCTTCCATTAAATCAAGCGCAATGGAAACCCTGCATTGAACTGAAACAGGATCTTCCGATTCCTTGCCAGTGTGCTCTATCCATGAATAATCCACAATTAATTGAAATGGACTGCGATCGAGTGATTTTTACTCGCGACACTGCGAACATCTTATATGATCAGCCAATTATATCGATTAGCCAGAAATATTGTGGCTATCAAACTTTACCAGAAGATCTTAATTTCACTCTAACTCTTAGGAAACTGGACTTGTCAAGCAATATGATCTATCGGTTAACAGATCGTGTATTGAAATTTCAGAGTGAACTATTTGAGCTTCGACTTGCCGATAATCTGTTGGGTGATAGTCTAAACCCTATATTTTCTAGTAACGGATTTCACAACATGGAAAAACTCAAAATACTCGATCTCAGTAGAAATGGTCTTAGAAGTATTGAAGGAGGAACCTTAAAAGGATGTACGAATTTGGAGGAGCTATATCTTGATGGCAACAATTTGACTACGGTACCTACTGCCTCTTTAAAAGGTCCACGAGCCATTAGAGTATTGTCCCTGGCTCAAAACAATATCGGTATGGTTACAATAAAATTTATAACGTCAATAATTTAAAGCTATTGTATATTAAAGATTTTTTGCTATTTTTTTATATATTAATTAAAATTCTATAATTATATTGTTGCGCCCCTGGATCTGCACTCTCATTTCCTAAGACGTTTCCAGGAGATCGTCGTCAAGAGAGTTGTTGATAAACAACCTCCGACTTACTTTTGTTTATCGTCGCCATCTGTCAGTCTTGGTCTAGCTGTCAAGTCCGATTGACGTTACGACACCGCAGACACGATTTCCATTAATTATTACAAAATGTAATTTATCTTCAACTGTATTTTCCCTGGGTCGACCCATTAAAAACTTAACTTGTGTTCAAACGAGTCTTCATTTCATTTCGCGCGCAAGTGAGAGTGATTGTGTGTGTGTGTGACCGCACGAGAAGGGTCCGGAAAGCGCAACATTTTGGGGGCTCGTCCGGGATCGCCCACGACATTCCAAAGGACCAACAAGGAAGAACTGCGACATAATGGCAACGAGTCATTCTCCGAGAGCAACGCGATCTCGAGCGGAACGTCGTTCTGTCAACGAGACTTCCTCCGAGTCGGAAATGCTCCAAACTGCATTGCGAGAACTGCGGGAAATGCGTGCTGAGCGAGAGCAACAACAAGCTCACTTCGAAGTTCTTCTTTGAAAAAAGGACGATCAATTACGACAACTTAAACAGCGGATGTCACAGCAAAATCAGCTAAGTCCTTCTAATAATAGAGCTTCCGGGGACACACATAATATACAGGGAACTTGTGCGATAGCCGCGATTGAGTCGACCAACGATTTTCGCGCGAAAACGGGCTTTAAATTGAAGCCCGATACGTACGACGGAAAAGTTCCGCTGCGGGAATTCCTCTCCCAATTTCTTTTGATCGCGATGGCAAATAATTGGGATGATAAGATGAAAACGATAACTCTCGCCGCGAATTTAAGGGGAAAAGCGCGAACTGTGTTAGAGAATATTGAGAATTTTGAAGATCTAACTTTTGTGGAATTAAAATCAAAATTATATATATATATATATATATATATATATAGAGCTTCTTTTTGGAGACGGAAATTTAACACAAAATTATTATTCTCTTTCACTAATAGAAGACAGAAATTTAGGGAAGATTTTGCTTCGTTTGGGACCGAACTTGAGAGATTATCACGACTCGCGTATTCGGAATGTTCTTTCTTGGTTCGTGATAAAATTGCTTGCGCTCAATTTATTTCCAGTTTGACAGACGGGTTTGTGAAGAGAACCCTTCAACTAGAAGGGATAACCTCTTTAAATCTAGCAATGAAAGGGCAAAAGCTGTCAAAATCATTCAAAGGGAAAATTTTGAGAGAAAAAGGGAGAATTCTGGTAACAACAAGAGATTCAAAAATTTCGAAAAGCAAAATTTTCAAAAGGCAGAGAGGAATGACGCGCGAACTAACTCCGTAAAAAGGAAACGCGAAAATTCAAAAGACTCGGGAAAAAAAGCGCAGACAAATAATTTTTCCTCTAAGGAATGTTGGTCGTGCGGAAAGACCGGACATCTTCGTTTTCAATGCCCTGACAGAAAGGGAAACTAGAATTAGTTGAACTTTTCGGGGAAGGTTCAACTTTCATTGATAGTACCCCGACTTTTGATTTTGTAGAGTGTAGTGTTAGGAGAATTCTTTAAAAAGATTATTTCTCATATTTTGGGAAACTGAATGGAAAAGGTGGTTTATTTAAAATAAATACGGGCTCTGATGTCTCAATAAATAGTAAATTAGTTAGAAAAGATTTTGGGAAGATTTTAATCAAAAATATTAATTTGAAATATCCGACGGTAGAGAAAATTTTAATTGAATTTTTAGTAAAAGCAAAGATCGAAATTGGAAATTATTCTGTTGAAATATCATTGTTTATTGCAGAAATAAATGATCAATGTATACTTGGAATTGATTTTCTTAAAAAAATTAATTTGGACAGAGTTTTCAATAAAGCTTTTAATGAATCTGGATTTGATAATGAAGATTTTAAATGTTTACGGATGGAATATTTTTCGAAGAAAGTCATGTCAATTTTAAATAAACTTTTTGAAAAGAGCTCCATCCATTTACAAGAAATTCTAAAAGAAACTTTTATTGACTTCTTAAATGAATTTCAAGATCTATTCTCTTGCGAAATTGTTGCCGGGAATTGTGATGTTGTTGAGCATGTTATAAATGTCAAAGACTCTCCCCATTAAGCAGGCACTCCGTAGGATTCCTTTGCAGATGAGAGAAGAAGTTGATAAAATCATGGAGGAGATGAAAACTGAAGGAGTTATCGAGGAATCTCAGAGTCCTTGGGTGTCTCCAGCTGTTTTGGTTAAAAAGAAAGATGGATCTCTCAGATTTTGTATCGATTATCGAAGGTTCAACGATATCACGGTGAAAGACTCCTATCCCCTCCCTCGAATCGACGATATTTTAGATCAGCTATCAGGTAATTCTTGGTTTTCTACGCTTGACTTGAAAAGCGGTTACTGGCAGATAAAAATCCGTCCTTCTGATAAAGAGAAAACAGCCTTTTCTATCGGTAAGGGGCTTTGGCAATTTACAGTTATGCCTTTTGGATTGTGTAACGCCTCTGCAACATTTGAACGATTAATAGAAAAAGTTTTACACGGAATTATTTCAAAGAAATGTTTGGTTTATGGTTAAAGCACAAAATAGACATATGTGCCATTTCAGAGACAAAGAAGAAAGGAAAAGGAAACATGAAATATGAGGACTACATACTGATATACAGCGGAAAGAACAAAAATGAGAGAGCAACATCTGGAGTCGGCTTGCTGATGCACCAAAGATAGGAAACGCACATCCAGGATATAAAGTATATTAACGATAGAATACTAAGAACCACAGTCAACCTTGGAGCTAGAACACACTTGATAAGTACATACGCGCCGGACATCACCAAAACTCAGGAGGAAAGAGAGAATTTCTACACAAATCTACAAAAAACACTGGATGAAATACCAATCCAAGACGAAGTAGTAATACTCAAGGACCTGAACGCAAAAGTTGGTAAGGAAGTCATCATTGGAATAAAAAACCAATTTAATGAGGAAGCAATCAATGGAAATGGGAAGTTGCTCATCCAATTCTGCGCGCATAACGAACTACGAATAAACAACACGTTCTATCCCCATAAAACACAACACAAAATAACATTCGAGAATACTAGAGGACAAAAATCAATAATAGACTATGTGATAACAAACAGAAACATTCACCCCTCTAGTATCTTGGACGTCAGGGTGCTGAGCTCGGCAAATACTGAGAGCAACTACAATTTAGTACTGGCAAAGATAAGACGGCACATACACCCTGCAGAACAGAAAAAAGAGAGCACTATAGAGAAATTGAACATAGAGCTATTATCCGACGAAACAACAAAATACCTATACCAACAGAGACTAACACAAAAAATTAACAACAACACAATACAGGATGAGGATGAAGTGGAAACCGCCTGGGAGAAACTCAAAACGAACATAATAGGCGCCGCCGAAGAAGCACTCGGAAAGAGGAAAATCAAAAATGGCAGAATACAAAATAAACCCTGGTTCTGCGAAGAGATTAAAGAACTCGCAAAAGAAAAAAAGCAATCATACCTAAGATATAGGAGCAAGGCTATCACATATGAACAGTATAAAGTAGTAAGGAACAGAGTCAATGCTGCAATACAGACAATCAAACAAGGATATTGGGAAAAATTCTCAGCAGACATGGAACATGACCTCTATGGAGCGCAAAAGAAAGTATGGAGCATGTTAAGAAACCGGAAAAAACCAGTCAACGAGTACGTACAGATCAACACCATCAAATCAAAGGAATGGGAAAAGCATTTCAAAACGCTATACGAAGACACAGAATGAACTGGAAGAACCATACAGGGACAACGAGGAATCAGATTACAGTATCACCGAAGGAGCGATCCAACAAGCAACCTGTAAGCTGAAGAATAGGAAGGCACCAGGACCGGATGGAATAACAAATGAAATGATCAAGTATGGAGGAGATGCCCTGAGGAAAGAACTAACCACGTTATATAATAATGTTATAAAATTCGGAAGACCACCCACACAATGGAAAGAAAGTATCACAATCCCCATACTCAAAAGAGGAACTAAAGCAGACCCAAAAAATTATTGAGGAATTACTTTGCTAAGCGCAGTCCTGAAGCTGATGACAAAAATCCTAGCCGAGAGGACCGCGCAGACAGGGATTTGTGAAGAACAACAAGGTTTTAGGCGGAACAGATCCACGATAGACGCGATATTCATAATACGACAAATAGTGGAAAAGGCTATAGAGTACGACAAAGTTGCATACATGTGCTTCGTAGACCTAACGCAGGCGTTTGACAGAGTCAGACTGAAAAACGTTTTGGAGAAGAAGGATAGACCCCAGAATTATAACAACCATCAAGGAGCTCAATACGAACAACAGTACAATAATAAAAGCAGGTAGTGAACATACAAAGAAAATACCAGTACCTAACGGAATAAGACAAGGAGATAGCCTTAGCCCGATACTGTTCAACTTAATCATGGATGAACTGATTAAGGAAGTCAAAACGGCGGGAAGGGGGTATCGAATGGGCAAGGAAGCTATTAGAATAGTTTGCTATGCCGATGATGCCGTCATCATCTTAGAGGATGAAGATGATCTACAAAGAATGGTATATAAGTTCGAAATAACTCAAAAAAACTCAACATGGTCATATTCGTGCAGAAGACTGAATCACTTGCTGTGGCAAGGGAGCCGAGGCGCTGCAACCTAGCCGTATATGATAAGCCAGTAAACTAAGTCATGAAGTTTAAATACCTCGGAGTAAACATCACAAGCGACAGAGACATAAAGAAGGAAGTGAGAGACCAAACAACCAAAGCATCAATGATCTCGGGATACCTAAGAGATATCGTATGGAGGAATAAATACATGACAATCGAAAGCAAGATCAGAATCTACCAAACGTGTATCAGACCGATAATGACATACGCAGGAGAAACAAGAGCAGAGACAACGAGCACCAAGCGATATCTAAGGACAACTGAAATGAGAATACTCCGAGCAACTATGCGATACACAAATTACGATAGAAAGACAAGCGAGGAAATAAGACAGGCGTGCGGAGTCCAAGACGTAGTAAGATGGATAAAAAGGAGACGCAGGGAGTGGAGAGACCACGTCGACAGGATGGAGAACGACAGAATACCTAAAATCGTAAAAATGAACATACCAAATACCAGCAGACACGTGGGAAGGCCACCAAAGAGGTGGTACGAAAGCTGGACTTCGACATCACAGGAAGGATAAAGGGACAGCGTGTGTTGAGAACGACAGGACTAAGTCCTAACAAACGAAGAAGAAGAAGAAGTTTGGTTTATTTGGATGATATTATCATTTTTGGAAAAGATTTCTTGGAAATGTTTAAGAATCTTAAAGAAGTATTTTTACGATTGCGAGAAGCAAATCTTAAAATTAATCTAAAAAATGTATACTTTTGCAAAAAAATGTCAAATATTTGGGACATGTAGTTTCTGAACAGGGCGTTACTACAGATCCGGAGAAGATTGCTGCTGTAAAAGATTGGCCAGTGCCACATACCAAAAAGCAATTGCGTAGTTTTTTGGGGTTTTGCTCATATTATAGAAAGTTTGTTAAAGGTTTTTCTTCGATAGCTAAACCTCTTTTTGCATTAACAAAGAATCAAGTTAAATTTCTTTGGAACAATGAATGTGATAGTGCTTTTGAAAACTTGAAATTAATGTTATCTTCATCCCCAGTGTTATCTTTTCCAAGAGGAGAAGGTCAATTTATTTTAGATACCGATGCTTCCAATATTGGAGTAGGTGCAGTCTTATCACAAATACAAGATGAGAGAGAAATGGTTATCGCGTATTTTAGTCAAGTTCTTAGCAAAACTGAGCGGAATTATTGTGTAACTCTTCGAGAATTATTAGTAATTATCAATGCTATTAAATTTTTTCGACATTATCTTTTAGGTCGAAGATTTTTTATTCGAACTGATCATATTTCCTTAAAATGGCTTATGTCTTTTAAAGATTTGGAGGAGCAACTAGCTCGTTGGTTGGAAAGACTCCAAGAATACGACTTTGAAGTACAACACCGAAAAGGAGAGTCTCACAAGAATGCCGATGGATTGTCCAGACGACTATGTGAGACTTATGGTTGTGAATATTGTGCCAAAGTTGAAGAAAAGAACAGTAAAAAATGAAAAAATTATTGCCCGACTCATACTCCAAGGAGAGGATCTAGAGGATTGGCGAAAAGATCAAGAGGAAGATCCCAGTATTGCCATTATTATTCAAGGAAAAAGAGAAGGAACACGTCCACTTCGTTCTAAATTGATGACCCATGACATTTCCGCTCAGATCTATTGGACGTATTGGGATGCATTAGTTCTTCGGAATGGAATCCTTTACAAGAAGTGGGAAACCTCAAATTTGTAATTTAGTTTCTTCAATTAATTGTTCCTCGAAAACGAGTGAAAAAAATCCTTGAGGAAGTACATGATTCTTCCTCGGGAGGTCATTTTGGAATAAACAAAACCTTGGAAAAGATTCGACAACGCTTCTATTGGGCGACTTATAAGCAAGACGTTGAAGATTGGTGCAAGTCTTGCAAAGTTTGTGTTTCGAAGAAAGGCCCCACAGGAAAAGGAAAATCTCCTATGCAGATCTATAATGTCGGAAGTCTTTTTGAAAGAATTCAAATGGATATTCTAGGTCCACTTCCAATAACTTCTTTTGGAAACAAGTATTTGGTTGTCATCGAAAATTGCTTCACTAAATAGGTAGAAGCTTTTCTCCTGAAGAATATTAGAGCAAAGACAGTGGCAGAAATCTTCATTAATGAGTTTATTGCAAGACATGGAATACCTTTAAAAGTACATATCGATCAAGGGAAGAATTTTGAATCGAAACTGTTCGCTGAAATAATGGAACTTCTCGGTATTAGAAAAACGCGGACTACTGCGTTGCATCCTCAGTCTGATGGTCAAGTCGAACGACACGAGAGTGATTATGTGTGTGACCGCACGAGAGGCGTCCGGCAGGCGCAACAATATTTATAAGATATTAAATACTTTAACAATTAAATTTAACGATTTAATGCTTCTTAATATATAATTTCCGATTATTAAAGCATTTTTTAAAATAAATTCTAAAATGAATCGCATGTGTTACCTTTCCATATATGTATTGTCTTTCAAGTTTAACTAGAAAACGATGTTTATCTGATGTGAACATTTTTGCAGCTAGCTTTCTCTACATATTTCTATTATATTATGCTATTAATACAATTGTATTTTTCCATGAAATATTTCATATCTCATCTATAAGTAATAGCAATTTAAATAATTCTTAAATAATGATAAAATTATTTATTGATAAGCATGAAATAATTAATGTTTATGAGTCTTTTCTCAATAAAAAATTTTGAACACTTACAAAATTTTAAGATTTTAGTTTTTCGATCATTTTTATAATAAATTTTTGTTATAATAATAAGATATCTTTTGAAATTTTTTCTTGCATAAACATTGACTTCTTGAATTCTTCTAACTGTTATCCTGTTTTACAGGTATTGTTCCACAAAATGCTTTTATAACTATAGGTGATTCACTATTACGATTAGATCTCAGCTACAATGAATTATCTCACATGGAAGACAATGCTTTTTCCGATCTTCAATATTTACTGTTTCTGAACATTTCCCATAATTCTCTCAGCCGTTTCAACAGCGACGTCTTTAAAGGTAAATATTATACATTATGAACACGATCTTATCCGAATAATTAATCAAAAGCGAAAACAGAAGTGAAGGTATCAGCAATGTCTACTTTAAAAAGTGCATCGCGTTTTTTAAAGTGTGTTAGTACGTGAAGCATTATTATTTATTTTAGTAATAAAGAATATAGAAAAAATGATTATTCATATATGTACAACTCATATTCTTCTTTTCAAGAACTTAACCATTGAACGATTTAGTCTGAGATATAAAAATTATGTATACAAAATAACTTTACGTCCGTGAAAAGGAAATAAAAATTACATTAAGAAGTGAAATAAGGCTAAGTTATAAGTTGACAAATTATATATAACTGTAAAAAAAGAAATTTTGTCTAAGCTTTGAATGATTAACATATATTCAGCTAATCATTTGTTTGAGAATTGTTAACAATCGGAAAACAATTTTCTGCCAAATATGGCTGCAAATCCAAGGCCTACTGTGTCCTCGAGCGCGCCCCAATTGCAATCAAAAGTTGAAAGCATATCCTAACATCAAATTGGGTGTAACGCCAGAGCAGATCTGTCACTAACTGTGCGACAACAGATTGACGCAACAAACTGCCCAGATAGAAATGTCTGATGATCAGATTTCATCATGTCATGATCTTCTAATATTGATTGAAATATGTTGTATGTCTTGTAATCATATTATGATAGATCATATCATGAGCACAAGTTACGTACTGCAACGTTACTTTCTTGAAAAACGAGAAAGACGCGCAATTTTGTCGTATTATCCATGCTATACTTACGTACCTCTCGATACCGATTCTTAATTACTAGGTGCCAGGTACGGTCAGGCCACACAAACTTATCGCACATATTTTACGCGAAAACACGATAGCTCAACCTCGGTAGCTCGGTATCATTATTTGACAAAGTGGCGTAGTTCTTCTATCGCGAGAGTCTTAGAATTCGAAGTCCCGGAGAGAGAGAGGAAACAAGTACTCAAAAAATAACTTCCTTGTAGATTAAAAGAATGGACAATATATTTCGGATATTGGATTATATTTGAGGGGCCTTAGAGCTAGTGGGAGATCGTTGATCCCTTCGAGATTCCCTTGATACAATTTTTTCTTAATTTTCGTAGCTTAGTAACTCGACACCCTCTTTCTCTTTGAAACAAAAGTAACTCTCAAAATTCGACTCGATATTTATATGCTTCAAATAGAAAACGAAAACTCGATACAATTTGATAACGAATTACACGCGTAGACTGTCGGCTCTTTTCGACGACTCTCAGAAAGGTTAGGAAGACAAAAGTATAATTAATAACGCGGATCTCAACGGAAGATCCGCGACGGGCCGGTTGTTTACTTAACGAGGGGCAGGGTTGTGTTGCCACCAAAGAAAGAATAAATAGTTTACTCAGAGTACACGCGAAATTAATCGTACACGAATTACCCGGTAATGAGGCGCAACAGCACTAAGAGACAAAAGAAAATAAGGACGCAAACGTGTGATATAAAATAATTCCGATTTATTACAATAAGAGAAGAAAAGGAAAAACAATATATCGTATAACGTAAATCGGATAACTGTGAGATTACAAAAAAATATATAGCAGAAAATATAATTTACATAATTTGGAAAATTAGAAAGAAATGTAGGGTATAATTGGCTTTACAAAATAAACAAAAAGGTAATACAAAAAGAAATTGATTTGATACAATATTCGTAATGTGAAGATAATTTCAATAACAAATTGTGACGTTGCTAAGATTTCAACAGAGCCAGCAAAATATAACAGTACGATATAGAAGTACGACGACAAGCTAGACTCGAAAAATAACGAAGACTTTACATACGTCAGATACGCGACAATCACATGATATACGACATACAAGAAAAAAGCGGAACAAAGGGTTCGACAATTAAGAGAGTCAGAAGTTAGGTCTGAAAGAGTCTTGACGACACGCAAAGAGCAAAAATACCGCCGTAATATGATAGAATTTGATTGCCGTGACGATGACGACTGTTGCCATCTTGTTCGCCCTCGCGCGCCCGCACTCTCCGTCCTTATCACTTTCGCGGTCGCGCTCGATTTTTTCTCTTTCTCTCAATTACACTTGACACCCGAATTACGCGACAGACGACAATATTTACGCGATTCGCTTTACACATTCACACATGCATTACTCGACATTCCAGTAAAAGCGCAATCATACAGATACGAAAATAAGCGCAACAGAAATTGAGACGGCGCGACGACAATAACCCCAGAGAGACTTAACTCGTGAAGATAACAACGACGCATAGATATTCGCGAAATTCTTTGCCGCTTGACCACGATTGCTCGCGAAATCACAAATCAAAATTACTCTCGAAAACGGGCTTAGCTCATACGCTAAAGAATTACACCAAATTAAAGTGATCTAAACAGAACGGTCAAGATTTGGAATCTACCTAAATCGAACGTGTTACTTGCGTGATTCTGAGATAGAGTAGCCTCACCGGAAGAATTCCTTTCCTGGACCTCGAAACTCGGCTAAGCCCTTCTATCAAGTCCTCAGATATTCGTATCTCTTGTCAGGTCGAGCGGTCGCGCCAATCTACCGAATCTGCCGACTCGCTATCGGCAGCCGGGCGAATTTGGCGAGTAGGGAGTAGTACGTGCGACAACCAATTAGAGCTTTCCGCGATTTTCCTTACTCGCATGACAGTAAGGTAGCGTGAGGGGTAATCACGGTACCCCTCGCGACAACTAATTTAACAATAAAAATTACGCTGTCGAGGTGCGTTATTTCGAGGCTTTCGCGGCCTTAAGCTGCGGGCCTTCTTGTTAACAGTCGGCGGGATTCTAGCGGGGAGGATGCGGGGTGTGGAGATTATCCGCGGCTTTTCGGAGCCCTTTCTGCGTCTGTTGGCGGGTGCAGTCCCCTCGCCCCACGGCCGAATTACTTAGTTGTTGTTGGTAACCTTCGTGAGACCCGTACGGAGATCCGATGCACACACACACGCATACACACAAAACACGTACAAATCCAAGCTTATATTATTCAGAAGAAAATCTGGCAACTTGAACCATTGATCTATAATAGTGTGTTCTTTGCCATAAAAGAAGAAAAAGAAAAAGAAATTGGTAACCTTCATGTGAGCCACGTTCTTCATGCATGATGTTTTTGCCGCTTACTTTTACCTTCCTGGATAATTTCTCCGTATAAACAATTCTCTCTCTCTCTCTCTCTCTCCCTCCTTCCCTCCCTCCCTCCCTCTCTTCCTTTCTCTCTCTCTCCAAGGTTATTCGCTATTTAGATGTGATAGAGAAGGTAGAAGGAGAGAGGTGTTACGTTCTATTTGGGGGAGCATCTGCGCGCTTCTGTTCTATGCAGTTCGGCTGCATTACAACCTGGTGGGTCGAAATTTATTATTGTTGAAATTTTGCCCTCGGGTACATCGAAACTACTGCTTGCTGTTGTATATCGCTCTCCTAACACAGGCTATTTGAATGAGTTTTTCCAGAAGTATTTTGATCTCCAGGTTGAATACAGACATGCTGTCATTCTAGGCGATTTTAATGCAGACATGCGACAGGTCTCTTTCGAAAGCCAGCTGATGGATACTTTAATTTCTGCATTAGGTCTATATCTGGTGCCATATGAACCTACTCATCACCTAAGGTGCTCGGACACATTATGGATTTATGTATAATGGATAACAAAGATAAGCTAATCGAATACGGCCAGTAGGATGCGGCGTTTCTATCTGCGCATCACTTAATTTATATTAAATACAGGATCGTGATTCAGCGCAAGAAGAGTAGACAGGTCACATTTAGAGACTGGAGTGATTTTGATGGCGATAAGTTCCGGACGGCCATCGAGGGTATAAACTGGAGCGATCTCCTAGCATCCGAAAATATAAATAAAAAGGTTGAGTTGTTCAACACGAAGCTTATAGAGATTTTTAATTCTCAGGTTCCTGTGCCAACGCGCCTCTTCAGGAACTTGCCTGCTCCCTGGTTGTCAGACGATATTCGCTTGAGGGGCAGGGATATGGCGAGAAGAGCTTTGCGTAGACATAAGTACAATGGACTTTATGATAGATACCGAGCCCTGAGAAATGAGGTGCAGGCTATTGTGCGTTCCGCGAACAATAGATATTTTACTAACATAGTTAATCGAACAGGAGGGGCAAATGAAGTATGGAAGGAACTCAGGCACCTTAGACTTATTAAAGCAAGGAACTTGCCTGCTCCCTGGTTGCCAGACGATATTCGCTTGAGGGGCAGGGATATGGCGAGAAGAGCTTTGCGTAGACATAAGTACAATGGACTTTATGATAGATACCTAGCCCTGAGAAATGAGGTGCAGGCTATTGTGCGTTCCGCGAAGAGTAGATATTTTACTAACATAGTTAATCGAACAGGAGGGGCAAATGAAGTATGGAAGGAACTCAGGCACCTTAGACTTATTAAAGCAAGAAAGCAAGGAGGAGGTTTACTTTATACAGTTGAGGAATTCGGAGAATTCTTTGACCTTGGCAACGATTCAGTTCAAGAACGTAAAGGCACTATTGATGACATACTGTCGGAAATTTTCAATGATGAAAATTTCCATTGGAGTTATGTCATACCGGCATCTATTACCAGAGTGATTGCAAAAATTAAATCAAATGCGGTTGATGCGAATGAAATTTCCTTGGCACTGTTAAGGCACTCTATGCACTATCTGATGCCAATACTGGAGCACTTGTTGAATTTTTCTCTAAGCAGAAGAGTCTTTCCGTCACAGTGGAAAACAGCTATAATCTCCAATACCCAAGGTCAGAAGCCCGGTGATAGTTAAGGACTATAGGCCTATTTTGGTCCTATCTGTTCTGGCAAAGATGTTGGAGAGTGTGGCCAGTGAACAATTGCGGGGTTTTCTTAAGGATTCGAATCTTCTAGATCAATATCAATCTGCCTACCGGAATAATCATTCGGTTCAAACTAGCCTTATAAGAATGATAGATGATGTCAGACAG